TGTCATGTTACTAGTGGGAAATGAAGCGTTATGAGATGAACGAAATAGTGCGATATGATGCACGCCTTATGGCTTAAGGTTTCTCTCAAACGTCCTGTGATTGATAGCAATATTATGAAATGTGGTTAGTGTTTTCTCCATGGGGATATTGATACGTAGATTTATATGTAAGTTCCCGAAGAATTACATATACTGGTTCAAATAGTTACAAACCACTGAACACGTTCTTAACTTGTTTGAGGCGTTCGCTTACAATCCGACGGATATGGTATACTTGCCTAAGTGATTATTTGATCAGTCAAGGATATGAATTATGCCCTTGCGTGTTAAACTATGAAGTCTAATTCCGAATTGATAGAGTTATAGTTTATGTCGTTGACACGAATCTCACTTAGACTTTAGAAGAGCTTGAGAAAACTGCATCGCAACTGAAGATGGAATTTGAGATGAAGGATATTAGGAAAACTCGTTTATGCCTTGACCTGAAGTTCAATCGTTGTTCTGGCGGTACCTTGGTCTTCCAGTCGAACTACACCCCGAATGTGTTACCTTCAAGTATACTTATGATCATCCATACGTTATATGCAAATGAGACCCTTGAAGAGGTTATGTAATTTGAAATTCCATATCTAAATTCAACTTTGCACTTCGTTGTATTTAGCTCATTGTATTTGACAGGACATCTCCTTCGTTGTTGAGATGCAGCACCTCGCATACACCCAACCACTGAATTGGTGCTAAAGACGTACCCTGAAGGTTTTACAAGGGAAAATCCCAATGCATCTTGAGCGGATCTGACCCCCCTGATCCTCAGAATGATTCTTGCCTTGTTTGTTATACTGATGCAGGGTACTTATCAAACCCGCATAAGGCAAAATCCTCAAATGGTTATATCTTTACTGTTAGGGATATTACAATATCTTGGAGGTCCACGATATGACCTTAGTTGTGAAATCTTCGAATCGTTCCATGACTCACCTCACTTCACTGCGCTACAAATGAGACATGGTTATGAGTTTTTGTTGAGCATATTCAAAGTACTTGTTGTTTTCATCCATCGTTGAGTCCCAACGATGATCCATGAAGACTATTATGCATGTATCCACTCGACCAAGACACGATACATCAACGAAGTCAATGCCAAGACATATTGCGTCTACATCTACATCAGCAAAGTATCATGAGATTGAAGTCATGCAAGCCGATCCCAGACAACCTTGTCGACCTCTACACGACGTCACTGCCGAAGTCAATCTTCCAGAAGCTTGTTCGAGGAATTGGTATGCCTAACTATTCATATTCAATGCTTGTAGTTCTCATTTGGAAGTTATGTCAAACTCAGGGGGAGTATCCAGAAGTATACTGATGCGAAATATATAAGCACACAAATTAAACCCTCTTTTTATCAATTGTAGCAAAGTATGTAAGTAGGGATCATTCTAGACCAGGGATTAGGAGGGATTGCCAAATCACTGGAAAACTGACTTAAAACGTAAAAATAAAGTTTAAAACACTAAACTAGACTCAAAGAATGCAAAACTAAACTTTAAAACACTAAAACAAACCAAAAGACTTAAAACAGCACATAAACACTCAAAACTGCCTTAAAAACACAATCTGGGCAGTTTTGAAGACCACTCACAAAATTGGACGAAAATAGGTTATAATTTGACTCAAGACACTTAAAAACACAAACTAAATTGATTTCTAACTAATCTAACACTTCAAAATAAAAGGGAATTTAATTTTGACGAAATTGAAAACAAAACAAAAACTTTGTAAACTAAAACATATTTTAAAACGAATTTGATTTAAATGAATGGATGGAAGCTAGCTAAGGGGTTCTCCTCCACACATATCACACTTGCATACAAAACGATTTCCAATTGCTTTTCGATAAACCATGAATTCCCAACACCCCAGATTAACCGTGAATTGCACTAATTAACCCTCAGATTTCCCTTAAGTTATTGAATTGGATGAATTGCATATGACAACCCAAAGCATTCCCCACAAGTTCCCTACATGAATTGCATAATAGAGATACAAGCAAGAATCATTAAGTTCTATGAAAATCATAAGCATTGGCAAGACACTTGTTACTATGAATTGCATGAAACTTATGCCAAGAATTTACTTAACACGATTGTGATCAACAACCTTTACTACTTGTGAATATAAGTTCATAACGATTAGGTGAAACTCCCTTATATCCTAGCATCAAACTTGTGTATGAAAATTAAGCGTGCACTCTCAACCAACATATACAAATCAATTTTAATTCATGTAGATAAGTAAATTGAATTCACAACTTATGAAACGCAATTAGAAGTAATCAAATCATATAGCAAGCATAAACATGGTTTCGAATCCCCCCTTAGCCAAGGGGGGTTTAGTTCCTCACACTCGCAAAGCAAAGATACATAAATTTAGACATTAAAATCCAAAGAAAGAAAACACCTAGATGATCCAACTTGGACAGCAGGTGCATCCACGAGTCTTCCTTCCTCCTTGATGCGGCACTTGGTCTAAAGTCAGGTTCTAGGGGTTATTTGTATGGATGAATGGGTAGGAGATGGTGGTAGTGTTTAGGGTGGATGAATGGTGCGGCAAGGATGATTTTGGGTCAGAAAATATGGAAGATGGTGGTAGAGGGCTGCGGCAGAGAGGGTGAATGACTTTCTGTCGTGTAGAATGATTGTCAGAGGTGGTAATTCGGCCAAAGGGGGTTTATGAATATATATAGGCACTTAAAACCCTAGGGAAATCAGATATGGACTTGAATAACCCAAGTCCACAAGGAAAAAGGCTTAGAAAATCAAAATCCAATAGGGAAAAAGGTTAAAAAGGTGCGGCAGGTTTAATGGGAAAATGATTGGCCTTCTAGAATACCTTGCAAGGCAAGGCAAAAGGTTCTAGATCAGGTATAGGTGCGGCATGGATTAAGGAATAAGGATAGGGCTTCTAGAAAGCCCAAAACCAAGAGAAAATAAGGCCTAACGCACGGCAAAGATGAGAAAATGTTCTAAAACCTTTCTTTGTGTCTTCCAACACTTAGGAACCTTCAAATGCTGCTGAAACTCAAGGCCATCTAGGTTTAGGAAAGATCAACCCAAAGTAGAAACTTTTAGGCTTAACTTTCCTACTTCAAGTAGGAAACCTTGTTTGAGTAGGAATCTTCATTCTTCTAGGAATCCATCCTTAACTAGGAATCCCTCGTTGATTAGGAATCCTTCTTCAATTAGGACTCCTCCTTGGTCTAGGAATCCTTCTTGGACTAGGAATCCTCAAAACTTCAATTTCGTCCCAACCTTTTGTTCCAAGCATGTGCTATTCAATCCAAGCTTACTTTTGCTCCTAAAAGCTCCAAATTGCATCATTTTATGTAATATGCCCTTAAAACCTGAAAACACATGAAACTAGCTTAAAAGATTACTTAAAACTAAGAAAACATAATGAAAATGCATAAGAACTAGCTAACTAAGGCGCATAAATATGCTCCTATCATATACTCACTTGATCTTAATGTACTCTTTTTCCCTAAGATTAGGAGCATTTTTCCCATTAGGTTTTTGCTACCTAACTAGGTTTTAACGAGACACCCATCTTGTGCTGGTTATACCCTTGTGAGCTCTTCTACTTGTGTCCAAAAGATGTATAGTTTTGACTTAATGCAACTTCTCACTTTTCTCCTTAGTCTATGAGTTGTTCTCCCACCTTGGGTTTTACCATAGTGAGGTTTTGTGAGTTTTCCTTTTTATGTATTCTTCCGTTGATCTGAGACTCGCATTTGCTCATTGTGCTGACGACTTCATCAACTGTACTTACTTCATCACTGAATACCTGATGCGCCATTTACTTGAGTATTTACACACTCAAGGGGGAGTGTTGCAGTCTTATTAGATTAGGAATGTGATTGTGTAAATCCTAGTGAATCTAATAATATCTCTTATATTCCTATTATGAGTTGATTACCTATTAAGAGTTGTAATCCGAAAAGAGAAGGATTTTTCCTATCATACTACTATAAATAAAGGCATAATAGGGTGGAATAGAACACACCTCACAATTACACATCTCTCTCTTCTCTCTACTATTTATTGGCCTCCATGATTGTTCAATAAATTATGCCTACAACATTTTATAAATTTTGATAATTTTTTTAATTTAATTCCATTTGTAAATAAGTATATAAAATTTTACAACCATAAAGAATTGTTTTTCTACATTTGCATGCGAGGATACATGTACAAATGCATATTATGTATTTCAAATGTGTCATATCATGGTACAAACATTAACTATATTGAATATATGTGACTGAATTAATCTGTATATACAAAAGGAGAAGGCTCAACACTTAAAATTTCTAAAATTCACAATCTACACTTTGGTTAACAAAATTTCTAAAATCCACAATCCTACAAATTAATATCAAGAATATAAGATAGTAAAGAATGGGTAAAATAAAAAATAGAAGAAAAAATAGATCTTTAGGTTAAGTTGAACCAAAATATAGGACACCCCTATACTTTTGTTTGAGTAGAGATGGAAAAAAAACTCACATATATGATTTAATTTACTAAATCATATTCTTCAATCTTATAAATTTTTCTCATTGAATTGATGATCAAGGGACAAAACTCACAAAAATATGAAGGGGTTTTATTCATTTTTAAAGCATAGATACAAGGTAAATAGTTGTCAGTTATATCCTATAAAAACTTAATTCATTTATAAAAAAATTAATGAAATTTTATCATGTTATTTGAGCATTCTGAGTTTGAGGTGATGATATCTTTTTATTTGAATTTTTAATTAAAAAAAATATTGCAACCACCAATAAAATTACAAGTAAAATGCTAAGAAGACCACATCACACCATGACCCCAAAACAAAAAACAAAAAATAAAAATAAAGTAGAAAGAGCCCTCCCAGTCAATCTACACGAGAAACTAGGAGAGCAGAGCTAACAATTGAATCTTAAAAGCCCATAAACCTGTAGTCTTTAAACATTCGACCAAAATGAAAAGTCGGAATCATACAGGGAGTGGGTTTCATATTCGCCATATCTCGGGACATAGTTGTAAATAAAATCAACATGTCGTATATGTTTAACAATCCAATAATGTGGGCCATTATTTGGATCCATTTGTCGTGCAAACTCCTTCGTCATGTCATAAAACCTAAGATCTCTCAGATTTCGAAGGCGGCAGATGCCGGATGGCACATCCTTCAGTTGTGGGCTAGGTCCAATGTGAAACTCTTGGAGAATAGGCATAACCCCATTGTCTATGATCAATGAATTTAGTCCCTCCACTTCCCTGAGTCGGAGCTTCCTAAGTTTCTGAAATCCTCCTTCCTCAAAATGCAGCCGCATGCCTTCATGTCCCATTTGTCCCAAACCAAGATCCAACAGATTAGGTAGATTTTGAAGGGCTTTCAATGGGAAATCTCTCAACCTTGACCAATAAATCACCAATGCGACGAGATGTTGAAGATTTGAAATCCAGCTTGGCAACTGCTCTAAACGCCCGTACAAGATCAGTTTCCGAATAAATTGTGGTGGAGTTGAAATGGATTCTAAATCAAGGACTTCATCTTCACTTATTGCAGTTAATTCTAGAGTTTCAAGGTGATTTATCTTTTCAATACAAGCACAAAGAGCCTTTCCATCTTCACGTTTTAACTTTGTTAGGCCTAACTTCCGCAACTGCCTTAACTGTCCCAGTTCTTTGATTAGTTTGATCCCTCCATGATTCGCCTCCACAAAGTACAGTTTTTGCAAAGCTTGTAAGCATCCAATACCTTCATGTATCTTCACTCCTCTTTCCATATTCGACCAAAACGCCAAGCTGTAGTCACGATAGTAGGCCAAAAGATGCCGCAGCTTAACAAGCTTATTGATCTTGGCTGGTATTTCAGACACCAAAGATTGTTTTAGATCCAGGGTTTCTAAGTTTTGCAGATTGCCTATGGAGTCTGGAAGCAACTCCACCTTTGTATTCCTCAGGCTTAAGTACGTCAAGAGATACAAATCCCCCACATATTTTGGAAGTTGATTGATTGGAGCATCCATGAAATCCAATACTTTCAGAAGTTTAAAGTTTCCCCTCAATGTATTGAGATAAGACTCGGGCCATTCTTCTTGGTTGAAAGCAAATACAGAACGAATTTGAGACTGTGTAATGATTCCCGAGGCATCAGAGGGGCTGTTGTCGATTGAGAGACGTCGAATTGTTGGTTTATAAGTCAACTCAAATTCTGATAAAATATGACAGAAGCTTGAATCCACACCCTTTTTAAGGAGCACTTCGCGCAAAATATCATGAACTCTACAACTTCGAGCTTTTCCATCAATGTAAACTTCTGACACTTGAACCAGGCTTCTGTGAATTACCTCAGTCAAATATTCCTCTCCAACCTCTTCCAGTGTCTTGCCCTTCTTCAATTTTACAAACCCTTCAGCAATCCACAACCGTATCAATCTTACGCAATTAATTGAGTAGTCCTCTGGAAAGATGCCAAAGTATAAGACACACGATTTGAGGTAATATGGTAGATGCTCATAGCTGAGGGATAGGATTCTTGTGAGGCCTGTAAGATGAGGATTGCTTTTCAACTCTGAACTTAAGCTATTGTATAACTTCTGCCATTCAGACACCACTTTAACTTTCGTTGACAGCAGACCACCTATGCAAACAATTGCCAAAGGTAGCCCCTCGCACTTCTTAACGATTTCCCGTGACATATCTTCTAACTCTAGAGGGCAATTTCCCTCCAATTCAAACTGGAATGCCTTTCTACAAAACAATTTCCATGCATTCTTCGGAGGCAGAGGTTGCAAGTGATGGACATGAACGAAACAAGATTTTTTGCAAAAATCCGCAACTTCTTGAATCCTTGTAGTAATCATTATTCGGCCGCCTTTATTATCCGGTAATGCATGTTCTATAGCCTCCCAAAACTTTACTTTCCACACATCATCAAACACAACAACGTACCTCTTTTGCTGCAAATACTCTCTTGATTTTCTGATCAGGGACTCCTCGTCCGTTGTGTCAATGTCCTCTGGGAAGTTCTCCTTTCTTGAATTGTAGAACATTTTGACTACCGTCCTCAGAAGATCCTCCACCCTATACGACTGGGACACCGTAATCCAAGCGTAGCATTTAAAGTGGTCCATCACCGTCAGACTATCATAAACTTTCCTGGCAAGAGTTGTCTTCCCAAGTCCTCCCATGCCAACCACAGATATCACTTCGCGTCTCGGCGCTCCTCCGACCAACAAATCAGTTAGCTCTTTTCTGGCAGATTCAATCCCCACCACTTCAGCCTCCTCAATGAAAAGGGAAGCCACTCGAGGGTCATACCACAGAAGAGTCTTTTCGCCATTATCTCGACCTTGCCGGTCAATGGAACTGAGTTCGTATCTTTGTCTTCTTTCCTGAATACCACGAACCAATTCTTTCATACGGTCAACTTTCGAAACTATCCCATCCTGTGATCTCATTTTTTTTACCAACCGGATAATTTTGTGGAAAAGCGGAATAAATCCACGATCTTGAAGGTGCCTTGTGACACGAAGCAAATATTCATCAATGACATCTTCAATGTAAAAAGCTGCTTCTCTTACTTGGTTGACCCAAGTTTTGACACTGTCATTTGTCGTCTCTCCATCTTCTGCCGCCTTAGCATCTGCGTCCTTGAGGAATAATCGGATGCTCTCTAGCTCATCTTTGATGAAACCAACTTCTTTGCATACGTCTCTTGAAAGGTTTGCTTCTGTGGTGATGAGTAGTTTAATTAACTTTTCGATCACAAAGCATACAATTTGTTCTGCCATATAGTATGAGCATCCAACAACCCCACACTGAACTCTAGCTGTTTGGTTTGTGTGAGCAAACAGTTGCTCGGAGAAAAACACAAAAAATTGGGAATCAAGGGTAGAGAAACGAAATCTGATATCAAGAAGATGATGTGAAGCATATGGCTTTAGCATCAAGAAAATCAGAAACGATGAAGGAAATTGAGAGCATTGATGAATTGGAACGTTCAGACACGAGTAAGTTTTTTACAGCCAGCAATTTATTAGACGCCTTCCTTTGGCCTTGTTTTTATTTTGTTTATGATGAGAGTCTAGTAATGTGGATGCACCTATCTTTGATCGAGACTTGTCTTGAAAAAGTTGGGTTAGGATAGTCAACGTCACGCGCAAATTTTATGCAAAGTTTACAGTCGTCGTGCAGTCCTTCTCAAGTAATGTGATGGTACGGAGAGAGAACTGAATATTATATCTATACTATTATTAAGAGAATCATTCTTTTTAGTTAAAAGACTGTTTACTACCTTCATGTTTCGTGATTTTCAACATTTAGTACATCATGTTTTTTTCGTCTCAGAGTCATACCTAAAGTGTAAATTTTGGGACAGTCTCATACATCCGTTAGTCAAACTGTTAAGTTTTTCGTTAACTGTGACGTGGCGCACTGAGTGGGCGCCACGTGTCATCCACGTTTTTTTTTTTTCTTTTTTCTTCTTCTTTCTTCTTCTTCTTCCTCCGACTGCAACTTTCTGCTTTTTTTTTTTTTTTTTTTTTTTTTTTTTTTTGCTTCTTCCTTCCTTCCTCCTTCCTTTCCTTTTTTTTTTTTTTTTTTTTTTTTTTTTGGAGAACCTCGGCGGTACGAGGGAATTTTATTGATAAGAAAAAAGAAGTTACACCTAGACAGGGGGGGACATAAACCTAACCCCTCATACAACAAGAGAAAAGAAATACAAAAGAAAAGGGGGGGACATGCACCTTACCCCTTTTGAGAAAGGAAATGCCAGAAAAAGAGGGGGGACATAGACCGTACCCCTCTTGGAAAAAGAAAATACAAGGAAAAGACTAGGCGGACATAAGCCCAAACCCTTCTATAAACCTTAAAAGGTAATAACCTGCAAAACAAACTGCAAAACAAAAGGGAATCCAAAAAGGTTAGGAAAAGAAAGGAGAAGACACATCAAGAAGAGGAGACAAACCTGTAGGTTGGCATGCCCAAGAAATTTGAGTGCAGAGGAGGGAGGATCTCAATTGGGGGAGTGGAATGCCAGACAAGTGAAGATGATAGAAGCCCTAAATTGGCTAATTTGTCAGCAACAACATTCCCTTCTCGAAAAATATGAGAGCAACGAAAAACCATGTTCTGCAAAAGGAGAGTACAATTGTTCCAGCGTGTCTGGAGCGACCAAGGGGGAGAGAAAGATCCAGAAGCAAAACATGATATTACACTCGAAGAGTCGCTTTCAAGCCATAAATTTTTCCAGCCTTGCGCGTGGGCCAATTCGACAACAAGGATGACAGCATGGAGCTCCGCATAGAAAGAAGTACGATGGCCCAAGCTTAGGGAGAAACCACCAAGAAAGTAACCCATAGAATCTCGAAAAACCCCGCCACAAGCCGCAGGACCCGGATTACCTTTAGCAAGGCCATCAGTATTCACTTTGATCCAAGAAGAAGGAGGGGGGTGCCAAAGAACAGGGACAATAGAAGGGGCTTTACAGGGGTTAGGCGATATTCCAAGAGAGACTAAAAGTTGCCGGTCCAAAATGCCTCGTACATGTCCAGGGGTGAGAGCTCCAACCTGCCTAATCCAGGCCAAGGTGGAGCGGCAGAGACGTGAGAAGGAGGGAGGTTTGCCTTCAAACTTCACTTTATTACGCATCTTCCAAATAGCCATGAGTAAGAAAAACCCTGAAGCTAGCCAGACATTGCGAAGATGTGGAGAAAACCGCTTTGACAGAAAATCAAGCCATAGATCAGAGAGGGAGCCCGTAGGTTGAATAATAGTGCCAACTTTGTCACAAGAATTCTGAATCTATTGACCACTTATTTTCTAGTTGTGACTTTGCACAATGTGCTTGGCGTTGGCTAGCCACCCAATTTGGCACTATTATTCAACTTCATTTGGTGGCTAGCCACCCAACTTGATGTACTAAATGTTGAAAACCACGAAACATTAGGGTAGTAAACAGTCTTTTACCCTTCTTTTTAATATTTTGCAACTTTTTAATTTTATTTTGCTCTTACTTTTGATACACAAAGTTTACATAAGGAAGGTAAAATAGTAATTTTATATCTTTTGAACCTTTTGCCCTTTTTTCCTATTAAGGAGGACGAAACAGTAATTATAAAGAAAAAATATGCATTTATCAAGAGAAATTATCTCATCATCATTATTCCATACTCTTTTTAAAATTTTAAAAACTAATCACACTCATTAATCAATAACAAAAACTAAAATGAAATTGTTCACACACAAAGAGTATGTGCTCATCTGCTAATTATTACAATAGAAACGCCACATTGGTGAACTTATTTTTTTTAATTTTTTTTATAAGAGTTACTTTGGGATTGTAGAGTTTATAAATAATAAAAAAAAGCTTATTACAAAATTTGAAATATAAAATGTGTTTCATAAAATAAAAAATATTTTTTAAGTGCTGTTAATGATAGTAGAAAAGAAGAATCAAGGTCTATCATGATTTTAAAAAAAATTGTTTTTTTTCAAAGCATAGTAATCAATGCTCATTTAATGAAATTTTCAAATGACAAAAATACCCCAACATGTTTTACAAAATTACAATCTTTGTCTTTACATTATTGTCTTTGAAAATTATTATATCAAATTAAATACCATATCATTTTTAGTCATTTAACATATTCAAAGTAATTTATATAAAAATTTACCAAACACTTAGACACTATTTTTTTTTAAATAAAAGTACTTTTACAAAAAAAAAAAAAAATTTACCAAAGACTCAACAACTTTATTTTACAGCTATTTATTGTCACATGACACACCCCGACCAAAATCAAGGCGTGCTGGCCATCACGTGAGGGTGACGTAGTTATGTGCATAGTGCGGAAGTGATAAGGATAAGAAATATACGAATAATTAAAAACCGAAAGCTACTAATGTGCACTAATAAGCAGAAAGTGCTAGGAATGAGATACAAGTGTAAATACACCTAATCAGAGCATAGAAAGTCTAGGTGCAGTCCAGTAGGACAAGTACTAGTTATATAGTACCATAAGATGTCCTACTAATATTATATTTTGTCAGAACCACCGAGATCCTCAAATGCCACCAACAACAAGTCTACCTAAATCCTGGAGAGGAGCAAAACAGAAAGTGTGAGTGGGCAAAAACAAAGCTTTTCAAAATCATTTCGTTAACAATGCTCTAACCCCTTGCCGTAAAACACGTATAATTTTCCCATAAATAGAATATAAATATATAAATATATATATTCAAATCATGCTTCACATATCCATAATCATAAGTATGCCATGCCAAAAATAAAACAGAATAAGTAACTTAGGTGAAAATAAATTCATGGAAAATAACATATTAGCCGGAACCCCTGCAGAAGTCTGTACGGTTGAATTCATAGCTCATTAGTCAATCTAGCCGGAGTCACTGCAAATGACCTATACGGCACTACACTGCACACGAGTCGGAACCACTGAAAAGGTCTGTACGACAAGACTGGGTGTAATATAGTTATGCTCAATGCTACGCATTCATGATAGCTATGTGATAAAACGCTAGTCACCTACGAGTCGGAACCACCTATGATGGTCTGTACGACAAGACTGTGCACCTAAATTGGATCCAATGTGAGCATATGGTGTGAGAGGTGACATTATATACATGCATGTGCCATATCTTTGGCTAATCACTAATACCAGGGTGCAGGTTTATGAGTTCAATGTTTCTCAATTAATTACAACCATTATTCACATTCACAATTCATAAACTCACCTGGGCTTACCTGAGCGTCCACAACACCACAATCATACATATGCATCATATACTATTTCATATTCAGAATATAAATTTATATGCATGACATTTCAAAGCATACTTTCATTTAAACGCATTTTCTGGAAAAATATCGAGTATATAAATATATACTGAAAACCAAAAGCCCACTCATTGGTATGTCGAAGGGTCGTAGCCCCCAAGTCGTCCTTGACTGCGCTCGTCCTCGGGATAAGTCTCCCCTATATGTGAAACAACTATAAAAACGTTATTTAAAGCACATAACCAATACTAGCTAATAACTTCTCATACAATGCTCAAATGGGATGTTTGAATATACCAACGTGATCTACACAACCTCACGAACATCCCCATATTTTTCGAAAAAAATTTCGACCACCCACGCGCCGTCACGTGCTAGCCAAGGCACTGCCAAACGCGCCGCCCACGCGCGGGCACGTGCCAGGCACACTGACGGTAACCCTAACGGCGTTAGGGAATATTCCGTTAAATAATAGCATATACCGTTAAAACTAACCTGACGCCTTTAGAATATTCCGTTAAAGTTGACGGAATATTCGCTCGTTTTCTTCCTTCGACTCCGGTGACCGTCGCCGTCGTCGGAAAACTGGGAATTTGAAAAACCTTGATATCTCAGTCATTTCTTAACCAAAACTCATGAAATTGGTCTCAATTTAAAGCTTATAACTAGAAGAACACATCCTTACCAATTTCAAGGCTTGAAATCCACGAAAACTCACCGAAGAGAGCTCGATAATCCGGCGAAAACTTAAAACTTGTCAAACTCGATTTCGCGACATCCAAATCGCTTGGTTTTTCTTCTCTGAGCTTCGTAAGGATGATTCAAAGCTCCTTATGTCTTTAAAAACTCCTAAAAACCTCACATTAATTAGTGCATGAACAGTGCATGAAATATGGGGTTATGGTTTCTCGGGATTTTGAGGGTTTCAAGATCTAAAAATGGCATATATGAACTCAGAGACTTGCAAGGAGTTTGAATCTTACCTTCTTGACGTTGATTCGTGCGTGAAAGGGTTGGTTCCAAGTTCGTGCGTACAATTGTACGGATTTTCAGAAAAATCTGTGAAGGAGGAGAGAGAGAGAGTCTAAGTCCTAATTGGTTCCAAAATAATAGGACGTAGCACTAATTGGTCCAAATTCTAACCTACCACACCACCACACAACACATCCAGGGTAAATAAGTAATCTCACGCCGTCGAAATTAGATATCTCGGGACGGGCTGTGACACACAGCACAACAAAAACAGTTTTTTA